TTGAATTCTCTGAAGACATTCATTGTTCATTAGGCGTAGATATCCAGGAATAAATAACAGAATTATTTCTCTATCTGAAAATGTATTTCTATGTGGATTCTGTATGTTAACTATGTGCAGATTTTATTTTCATCTAATACCTCCAATTATAAAGAGTACATGTATCTGATCACAAACCTTCAGCATATCACTGATATTAAAGGTATATAAAAAGTCTTTATTTCAGAGGATTTAAATAGCACTTGATTGGGCAGAGATGTCAGCTAATCCAAATAGTTCAAAAGAGGTCCTTTAACATAAATATTGGAGAAAAATACACAGTAGAATAAAAAAATAGTACTATATTAAGGGTAAAAATAAATGTTTTGATGGTTTGGTGTAGCTGGGTGACCTTGGCGCCAATCACTTTTTGTCTGTCCAACCTATCTTGCAGAGTTGTTGCTGTGGGGAAAATAGAAGTATTTTATATGTTTGCCACCTTGAGTTAACGTATAAAGTAATGAAGGCGGGATTGTTTTTTTAAAAAAATCTAATAAAGTATTGAATAATCAGAGTCAATCATATGTCATGAGGGTTGCATCATGACACTACTTCAAGAGCCTTTTCATATTGCACTTCCATCATAGCAAATTTGATTCAATTAGTATGGAATTCAGGTGAATAGTTGAAATTTGGGACAATGGTATTATTATTCCATTTTAATAGCATAATTAAATTTAATAGCATAATTTAAATTGCTAAATGAATATATGATTTAAAATGAATATACACATTAAGTTCCCCCCCCAAATTCAAACAACTCAGTGAATTAAAAATGCTTTCCAAACATCTTTTTTTTTTTTTAAAAAAAAAATACTATTTAGAATCTGAAATTTGGAAAGAATTTTCCTCCATTGATTTTATCATCAGATAATCTCAGCAGTGAGGATTGTCGGCCCTTCCATTGCTCAACTTTTGCCAAACTAGAGCCAGAGTACAGTAATAGGTTTTCTAGGCCTTGGACCCTGGTTTCCGCAAGGATCAAAACGTTTAAAGCAGGGGTGTCCAACCTTGACAACTTGTGGACTTCAATTCCCACAATTCCTATAATGGCTGGGGAATTCTGGGAGTTGAAGTCTGCAAGTCTTAAAGTTGTCAAGGGTACACCCCTCCCCCACTTTAAAATATTAGATTATAGATCAGTGATGGCGAACCTTTTAGAGACCGAGTGCCCAAATTGCAACCCAAAACCCACTTATTTATCGTAAAGTGCCAGGGCTGCATCAGCATTGTGGTGCCCTCAGGGGTGGAGGGGGCATGGCCCACTGGGTGGGCGTGGCTGCAGTGGTCATGGCAGACTGGGTGAGCATGGCCAGGGCCCGTCCCCTGCCATCTCTGGGACATCCCCAGGGGCCAACGCCGCTTGCTCGCTCACTTCCTGCCCTGTCGCTTCCAAAGGCCATGTGCTTGCTACTCTGGCAAACTCTGTTGGGGTAACGGCGCGCATGCCCACAGAGAGGGCTCTGAGTGCTGCCTCTGGCACGCGTGCCATAGGTTCGCCACCACTGTTATAGATTATTTATAGTAATATTGTTTTAGATGCTAATTTCTTATTCTCTCAATTCACCATTTTAAACAGGTGTTCCAAACTGAACAATAATACATCTGTCTATCTTTATAGACAGTAAAGGAAAACTGAGCTAGCAGCTTAGTGTTAACAGATTTGACAAGGCAGTATATGCTGATTGTATGTCTCTGTGAAAAACAGAAATCTGAATTGCTGATTACTTGCAAGAGGATCATGTTTGATACATAGTTGGAAAAATATAAACTTTGGTTTATTAAGTTACTTGAACAAGTGGACTAGAGTTTGCCTGTCACTTGAATTAAGCATAAAGGAGAAAAAAGCCTGTTCAATGTATTTTCTAAGTTCAAAAGTATCTAAGAAATAAATACTTTTTGCCCCTCAGCATTTGAAATGTTGCCATAATCTCAGTTAACATCTTTATTCCCTACTCGTTCTTCAAATTGCTTTTAGAAATGACTCCCACACACGTTCTATTGTATTTTGCATTTATTTTGTTGGATTTATAGTCTGCCTTTTGCATAGCAGCTCACAGCAGTGATAGATTTATCTGTCATTTAATTGTCCACATACTAAGAGGGTGCACAAAATGAAGGAACATGTTTTCTAAGATTTTTTTTTTTTAATGAGAAGCTCTGGTAAAAGGATAACTGAAACAGCCACATAAGTGAACATAACTAAAAAGAAACAGCAATAATTTTGCTTCAGCCCAGCCCATGAATAATGTTAACTTAAAAAAAAAAATCCCTGTAGCCAAGATTTGACAAGCATATTAGCCAATAATATAGCAGGCATGGGGTCTAGTCTTGTTGTTTGGAGCCATTTTGAATTTAAGGGAAAAATGATTCAGAGCTAGATCTAAGTCTATTATTTTTACTCATATTAGATGTATTACTCTGGGAAAAAAAGGCAATAAGGAGAGGTGCTACACTGCGCTGATGCCAACTTCGACATAATAAATAACACCCGCACACAAATAGTCAAGTACAACTTTGTAAGTTGATTTCAAACTTTTATGTTCCCAACTTAAAGAGAAGTGGAATCTCCCTCCCTCTTCCTTAAGCTAGACCTCGGCAAAATATTGCCTATATATTAATATATTAGCACTGCCCGCTGTTCTTAATAAGTAATATTCAAGATCATCTTCCACAATTTTTTAATCACTAACAATATTGACTTGTTTCCCCCATTTTTGCAAATGGCTGTCATTTTTAACACTTTTAGTCCTTTATTATACATTAGGATCAAATATAATGGACAGACCATTTTTCAAGATATATATTTTTCTCTTCTGAAATGTCTCTGAACAATATCACTAAATGGCTTAGTCTTTGCATTAATAATTGGATAGAATCAACAAGTTTCCCATGCTTTTTTGCTTAAGTCTGAGTGATACAAAAGTTGTGCCAAGCTTGGATTTTTAATCCTTCCTCCATAGTCATGCTAAAGTTTATTTTCTGGCAAAGACTAAAATAATCTGTAATATCATAGTTATGTTTCTGTGTATGGGTGCAATGTTAATTCCTTCCCACCGTTATTTATGCAAGTGAATTTTATTAAGAATCTTTGGAATTCATAAAATATTTTATTTTATACACAAACATACAGTAGGTCTCACCATCCCTCTTAGAAATTAGCAGCATTATCAAAATCTAAAACCCATAAACTCTCAGAAAGACATAGATTTTTGCTTAAACAACTGAGGCACAATCAATCGGGCAATTTTTCTGTACACACTTAAGTAATTTCCATTTATCTCTGAAGGACTTGACAGATGTAAATTCTCCAACCAGATTGTGCTTTTGAATGTTTACATATAGCACTGACTTCCACATCATCACCAATTTATCTGCAGGTGGCAATGTGGTTTGGGGGGGATGTTTTTGGTTTATTTATTTTTTGACAGCACTATATGAAACAAGTAAAAAATATAAATTATAAGCAACAATGAGGTGATCTCCCATATGAGCTAGAAAACATGCACTTTATTTTAGCGTATAAGTCCAACATCCCCTTCATCAGAAACTTGTGAAAAGAAGACCCACTGCTTGCATAACATTTAAAAGGATGATTGTATCCATTTAAAATATACATTTTTGGCCAATCACATTGGATTTGGATCACAATTCTTAAACAAGTTAACATCTTCTATCTATACCTTCAAGTTAAGCATAAATATTCAGTGCAAATCTAAGCATAACTTGACAATATTAAATGCCCTCAAGTCTTAAAAAGAATTAGTGAGTTTTCTTCATGGCCATTTTCACTTGCATTTCATATAAATATCGTTATTTGGACATTGAGCAGAAACCCTTTAAAATCATTTTAATCTGCTTTCAGGCACTGTTCGTGGAATATGCATAGCTATTGCTATATTCCAATAGCTTAATGCACTTTGTGATTCGCTAGATCCAGAGACAGAACATGAAAACACAGACATTATTCTTGACAGGACATGCCACTTCATTTTTGACCACTACTTATTCACCTCAGCATAGTTAAGAGACATAGGTCTATGGTGATTCTCAGGTCATGGTTGTCCCAAAAGTGCTTTTTCAAGAGGCAACTGGACTTTCTTTTTTTTTTCTTTGAAGACGTTTCGCTACTCATCCAAGAAGCTTCTTCAGCTTCTTTGCTTCCCCACCATCCAGTCAGAGCTGAAGAAGCTTCTTGGATGAGAAGCGAAATGTCTTCAAAGAAAAACAAGAAAGTCCAGTTGCCTCTTGAAAATGCACCTTTGGGTTGAGAGACATACTTTATTTTAAACAAGATGATGATATTGCATTCTAATTGTATCATAACAGTAAACATATTTTACAGAAGCTGCAGGATTTTAAATAGAAAATTGCCATTTCATTTATTGGTGAGACATGAATGTCAGAATTTGATCATGAGATTGGTAGATCATGTTTACAATTCATTACAATATTATTATAAATAATAAGTAGCCCTAATTTCAAATTAAGGCTCACTTTCATCCATTTCATTGGAGTTAAGCTTTACACTAGAGGTGGGGAACCATGCCCCCTTTCTGACTTGTGGACTTTAACTCCCAGAATTCCTGAGCAGCATGGCTCAGGAATTCTGGGAGTTGAAGCCCACAAGTCATAAAAGGACCATCATTCCCCACCCCTGCTTTACACGGTACAAATTATTTTCACTATTTAACTAGCTATCCAGAGATAGAAACTTCTAAAGATTCTTGCCAATCTATCACAGGATTTCACAAAACCAGAAAACGAATAAGGAGAAGCTTAAAATGTACTTGTCATGGTTATAACTAACTTACATATATTAATCTAGAGAGATTAGACAGGAGGATTGGCACTTCATCATTAGACATTCATATGCAATTAATTTCCCACTGTAGAATTTGATATTTCATTATTTGAAAAAGCTGTAATTGAATTATGTTTTAATGTTTTCTGGCACGGCTGAAAAGTTTGACAATCAAACCAAGAGCGAGATGCAAAGTCAATTGGTATTTCTATCTGTTCATTAGATGGGAACCAACAAACAGCCACATTCTTTCTTGTAGTGTATGCTAATTTTAGTTTCCTGATTACATTTCCTACTAAGAGATAATAATTATGGACAAAGGAAGGAATCAAAAGCCCATTCAAGAGAACCCAGGCTGGGTGAGATGTAGGATTAAGGCTTTCACAAATAGCTTCAATGACAAGACATAATGGACCACTACAATGGCCATAGCTGCATAGCAACATTCTTAATAATATGTGCTAATTCTAGCTGGAGTTGGGTTGTCATCTGACAGGGACTGTAGATCATTTTATAGCAGCTCTAGCAATGCTCAGAAATAATTGCATCCAGCCCAAACTGCATTTGCAGCAAAGCTCAGGGCAACACTGTTAATGTCACTGTCCCCTTTTGGTGCTTCAGAATAGCTACAGCTTGCTCATGAGTCACACCTTCCAGAGACTGTCCATTAACAGCTAAAATCTGATCACCACGCTTCAGTCTGCCATCATCTGCAGCTGCCCCCTGGGGAAAAAAAAACAAAAACAAATTAGACCAGAAGCAATACACATCATCAGCCAAAAAATGTTTTGAGTCTAAAATAGTAGATAACAAATTATATGGAACATGCAGATGACAGAACTGCTTTAGGATGACTTTCTTCAACCATTTGGCATCTATTGGAATTACAATTCCAACAAAACGCCTAGTCAGGGGTAGGCAACCTTGGCTCTTTTATGACTCTTTTATGCTGGATCAGGAATTCTGGGAGTTGAAGTCCACGAGTCATAAAAGAGCCAAGGTTGCCTACCCCTGGCCTAGTCAGTGGGATTAATTTAATGCTAGATCATGTGATACTAAGTTGAAAAGACTAAACTGGAGGGTTCTTGGTTGGGAAAGCTTCTCTTCAGATAAAACTTTACCTTTTTATGTTCACATTTACATTGTATAGCTAACTTGGCAATTCTGATTATCTCCCTCAAAGAAAATGATACATTGGTATGCATGGATCTAATCACAGA